CTCTTTCATATACAGACTAAGACTGTGTCACTGATGCAATTTTTATGTACCTGTTAAGCTCCCGGTAATTTCTGTGCCGGCCACACCACAAAACTTGATTTGGCTAGATACTGTAGGTTTCTATCAATTACAGATCTATTTTTCATAAACCAATTTTATAGGCATTTATGGAGAAAAAAATTTCTTCTCCGCACAACAAACACCAGACTGATAGCAAGGTAATCCTTTTCTTCCCCAAACCACTTGCAAACTCAGAAGAGTTCTCCAAGATCTGTGATCTCTATCATTTCCTTGGTCAAAATCTCCACCACTAGAGAAAAAATTATAATTAAAAAATAATAATAATTAAAAAAAACCTATTGAATTTTGAAGAAAAAGCTGTTAAATATGAAGCAACTGTACAGGGTTGGCTTGTTTACCCCCTGCAAGCTGAATTTCCATGTGCACGTCAAGATGTGATTTTAGCTGACACACTTAAGGTCAGGCAACTGGGACCTCTGCAAAACAACAGCAAAATACTTGCTTTAGAGAAGACTTTCCATTTGCTAATCTCTTGAGCACTTGAGGTGGAAGGGAAGCCTCGTTATCCCCAGCTGCAGATGCAAGAAAGGCCCAGAGCTGAACTGCCTGGCAGAGGTTCCTTGCCCCTCTCTGTCCCCATAGGCGCTGCACCTATATGGGAGGAGGAAGGTTAAGGTATAGAAAAGTAGGTCTCCAGATTTGCATGTGCTCACCATGGAGGATGCAGGGAAATGGTCATAGTTCAAGTTCTCACTCTTATGGAAAACATCTCCTTTCTTTTATAGCAAATGATTGTTAGTAATGTTGAACTCCAAAGGGTTTGCTGCATTTTGTTTCTCTTTCACTCAAATACTTCACTTTTCAAGCATGTGGCATGCAATTCATTTGTGAAATGGGTCACGGTGTCAGATGTTAACTGGGGCCTGCAAGATTAATCTTTCTATAAAATTTCCAAACCATCTGCCCAATGCTGTACTGTCAATACAGAGAACTTATTTTAATGAATTCTCATCTATTTTTTTAAAAGAAGAGAAGAAAATAAAATGAGAGCTGTGAAAAAAAAATTTTAAAGATGAGAAAAAATAATGACGCAAATATAAAAATATGTTCCACAATAGATGGAGCTCAGAAAACTCGAGAACTGAACCCACTAATGCTGACCAGAGGGACTGACTAGTTTCAGAGTGCAGAGGGCTCCCTCTGAGCCTTCTGGCAGGGTAAAAACCCCAAAGGGGTGGTGGCAGCTTAGGAGTCCCTCTGTCACCTGGAACATGGGCCTCTCCCATCTCCTACTGCCAGCACGCACTTAGGCTTGTACAGCGTTTTGTTCAGCACACTTCCCTTCCCTGCTGCCCTTGCCATGATTTGCTGCTCTCTTATTTTTGATTCCTTCTCGTATTTGTCCCAAAGGAGCAGCAAAGAAAGCTGAAAATGAATCCCAATAATAATAATAATAGAAACTCCTTAAGGCTAGTCAGCTTTTGATTAGCAAAGCCTTTACAAGGCAAGGGGCTGTAGCAGAGGCACTGATGCTTTGGCTACAGAGTAAGTAAATGGTCTGTGTGCAGGTCATGTTTTGATGACTCTCTCCGCAAATATAAGGGCTAGAAACTTATATTATCACTATTTAATTTATTCACTTACTAAAAACATAGGCACATTTTCATGGTTACCTTGCCAGCTGGCAGTAGCAGACTGATTTTGAGAGCTCTTGCTGGTGACCTGTACTTCCCAGAAAAAGCAGCAGGGAAACAGCTCAGAAGCATCCCTAACTCAGACTAATTTTTTAATTACTTAATTTTAGGCCACATACTTCAAAATTAGATTCCCTCCTGCATCACTGATTATTCTTATGCTTACACCTGATATTTGAGATGACGAACAGTGGCTTTTTTAAGCAGTGCTTACTGATGTTTTTGGAAAAATAAAGTATCTCTCTGTACTGTTCCCCTGCCTCTGAATATACATGTACAGTGAGTTACATTCTGTCCCGAAGCAATTAATTAATAGTAGAATTTATTGCATCTCCATCTACTTTTATTTACAAAATAACTCTCTTCAATACACAGAACCTAGTTTTCAGTCTGTATGTAATTCAGATTAATACCCTACTGAAGTATTGCATAGTATGCTTTTGTAATTGATAATAACCTGTCAGAATCTAGCGACTCAAAACTGCTAAGCATTTTTTTTTTCCCAAAAGCTATACAAAATACAAGTGAAAAGTCCCATGTATTCTATTCCACTGCCAAACCATCGCTCCCTTACTGTGACGTTAACAAAAGCTGTTTTGGCAGCCATACTGATAAAATATTTTCTGTTGTTTTGCCCAGTTTTAAAGAGTTTGTCTAATAGGCTTCCACTTACCTCCTCCCCTGACTCGACAGCTGTATTAGAGGCATATCCCTAAATACAGCGTCACACTGCTTCAATTATACAAATGCAGATAGCACTTAAACACACAGGCAGGCACACATTTCACCTAACTAAGCACATTAATTTCTCCTCAGCATAATTTTCCCTTTACTAGCACATCTGGAAAGATTAAATGTAGTCTTCAAGCAGTCCCACATCTGAGTTAAAAATTTCTATCAAATACTTCCTTGGAGGTTTTTTTTGTACAGGAAAAAAAAAAAAAAGAAATTAAGAAAAACAGATTACTTTTTTCACGTACTGGAGCAAGGACCACACTGACGGATGTTTCTAGTGTCTGTTCAATGATTTTATATGAATATGTTTAACAAAATTTCCTAAAAAGTCCTGTTTTTCATAAATCAAGACCGACAAACGTAAACCACAAGAGGAGGAAAAAAAAAAAAAATCAAAGATACAGCCATAATAGCATCTATGTATTTGAATTGTCCATCATCAGCACACATCTCTCTTCACTGATAAAGCAGGAAAGGTAGTGAATAAATAGTGTAATGCTCTGAACATGCCCAGCTGGTACCCTAAAGCAGAAACCCTGTTTCTGTGTCATACCTGGGTCTCAAAGCCCACTGTGTGCACACTTCAAGAGTAACATACAACGCAAACTACAAGACTCCTTTGATGACAGCTGTTGAAGAAAGTGACATACCAGGGATCCTGGTGATTTTCTGTGTTTGGTCATGCTCTTAATTCCAAAGTCATTATTCATTATTTTAGCATATATGTATCAAAATAGATACCTGCTACCTCCCCTGCCAGTGCTTGGGAATCCATTCCCATAAGGCACTTAATCCACATGGGCAGAAAGATAATCTGCAAGGAGCTGTGCTAACCTAAAAGACGTACTTTCAGAAGCACAGCAAAGGCCTAAGTAGCTAACTTAATCTTTCATTCATATACCACCTTTTCACCAGAGGGATCCCAGAACATATTAAAACCCCCAGAGGGTATCTACAGCGAAGATGGCAATCACTGAACATTTTTCTCAAGGGCTGGCCCCATTTACTCATTAACTTCCTTGATCAATATTGTAACTTTATAACCTTCTGTGACACACTTCTTACTAAAAGGTGGATATCTTTCTGTCAAATCTTCTGTAGACAGCATCGACCTTATTCCAAAGTAACTAATACCAGAAAAGTCACTACAAAGACTGATGACACAATGTCCTCAACTCCCATCATTGTGCACATGTAAAATAAAAAGGACGTCAGACAAAGTTGCAAATGACACGTTAGTTTACGATTACAAGGCCTATACTGTCATCTATCTGTGCCATAAAGCTATGGTTACATCCAGCAGTCCTGTGCACTTGTTATGGACAGTCAGAGCCCTGCGTGATTTCTAACGAAGGTCATCTTGGCCTGTTACCATGCCCTGAAGAGCAAGCGGCAGCAGTTCATACACCTGCCTTCAAGCCATGGCTCTACAGACACCAACAAGCACTTAAATATCCATTTCATTACCAGGAATAACTGCAGAGGTACCAGACCATACTACAGAAACCGGGCCCTGGTTTTTTGTTTTTAAGAAGCACACAGAATTTGTCACCTGAAATTTGTCCAAAAATGCATTATAATTTCGATTCACTATGATTTATGAATTGACTGGAGGTAGCACATAACATATATACAGCTTTGAAACACAGAGAGATATTTAGCAGACAAAAAATATTGTATAAGGTATGTTATTATCCTATATTTCTAATCAGGCTTGATTGTATGCTTCAAGGTTTAAATTTTTTGAAATACCCATCCCCTAAGACAGAAGTTATCCTGACATAAAAACCAAAGAAGAATTATCACTTTCATTTGAGACGGTATTTTGGTATTTTGTTAGTACCTCAAACTGTGTGAAACGTTTTCTACCTGATATCCAAAGAAGACCATCCACCACATATCCTGCATGGCATGAGAGCGATCGATCAAAGGACTGTACAAAGGTCCACTTGTTCTTCTTGGGACAATAGCGTTCCACTGTAGGTAACACCTGACGCAATTCATTTCTGCCCCCAACTGCATAGAGGTACTCGTCCACCGCTCCCAGCACAAAGTGTTCCCGACAGTTCTTCATTGGAGCTATCTCAGCCCAAGAGTTAGTGCGGGGGTCGTATCGACAGGCAGTTCTCACCGCACAAGAGCGCCCTGTGGAGTGCTCTGCCTCTCCACCAGCTACAAAAAGAAAGTCTCCCATGACCGCGACACAGTGGTGGCTTCTCCCTACAGGCATAGGCGCTAGCTCGCTCCAGTTTGCAATCCCTGCAATATGAACGTTCTCTTGATCTACCGGATTGAAGTATCGCAATTCCTTCACTTTACAGATTTCACGCTTTTTCCCACCAATAATGTAAAGTGTGTCTGACTGGAAGCGAGGTTTTGTCCTTCTGGTCTGCCAAACGGGCTGTGCATAGATGCTCTGGTGGTAAGCCAAGGCCTCATTAATAAGCGCTGTCGCAGTTTCACTAGCTTGGACAAGAGGATGAGAAAGAGCTACGGTATGCAGTGTATCCACATCCATAAGGCCAAAGCGGACGTACTGGAGAAGTTCATCCAGGTACTGGTAGCGGCAGTTGTGTTCCAACCACCTCACAGCCAGCTAAAAGTTGGGGGAAGGAAAGGAGAAACAAAACAGCAATTATTTGTGTACAACTCTGTCAAAATTTGACCATTTGAAAACTGCTTGCATTCCAGGAGCAGCTATAAACTTGCCTCAGTAGTAAATACCAATCAATATAAAAAGCTGTTATGAATGCATGGGAGTCAACATAGAATCATAGAATGGACCTTAAAGATCATCTAGTTCCAACCCCCCTGCCATTAGCAGGGACACCTTCCACTAGGTGTTAAAAGACATAAAAGATACCTTTTGTAAAAAAACCATAAAAGATACCTACTAAAACTCCACCTATAATACACATAAAAGCAGTATTACACCAGTCCCCCTAAAGAATTTCCACAGCATTATCAGATTGCAATACTGCTGTGCAATACTCTTGCTGTGCAAACTCTTAGTGATGCTATAGGAGACCACAATATCCCAGAATCAAGTGGCTGTAGCAATAATATAAACGTAGGGACTATGTGATCACTGGAGATCATGGGAGCACTAGAAAGAAAAGTAAGATTACGGTTAGATGATTAGAAATAAAAGCCCTTTCTCCCCTCCATCTTTCTTTCTATTTATGACAAAATATTGAAGGAATATAACAAAATACATATTGAATCCTTCAATATTTTTTTCCTTCTTCATTTATTCTATTCATAAAGCAGAGAGAGGTGTATAGGGACCAGAAATTAAACCAGAGAAGAGAGAAACAGAGAAGAGGCTCTGCTGATTTAGGACTGACAGAAAGCAGCAAGGCAGACTAAAACTATTCAGCAATTGCAGCTGGTATTTACAGCCAAAATTAAATACAGCCTTTAAATTACATAAAACATATTGAATTCAACCAGGTCTAATAAGAGGTTAGGAAGGGATTAAACCATTTCAAGAACAGTTGTATAAAGTATTTTTTAAAACATCCAGTGATTAAGATACTCAAACTTCCTCAGGAAAACCATTTCCATGCTCTGCTATCCTCTCAGACTGATTTGCCTTTTACCTGCGCAGGAGCTCTAAACCATTCAACTCATTGCCCCATTTTCCACCTTTGGGTTTATATTCCAGAGCTCAGGAACCCCCAGATCAACCCTTGAAACTGATCCACCCATATAGGATGAAAAGCAGTTTGCTACCTTCCTTTTCTCCTCCACTTCCAGTGCATTTTAATGTGTATGTTGCAGTTTCCTCTTCGAACGAAAAAGTCTCTCAATCCATCTTGGGTCATGTTTTCTAAACCTCTGTTGCTTGGCTCACAGTTCTCTGTTATTGAAAGAAAATGCCCCTCTTTCTTAATGTCTGCTGCTAAAAACTGCATATAATCTTCCTCTTAAGACTGTAGTAGTAGCGAATAGATTGGAAGGATGTCTTTGATTTTAACAATCTACACCATCCTTGTTTATACATCACTACACGAGACTGTCAGTGCAGTATGACATTGCTAATTCATGTTTATGCTTATGGCTGAGTACTGTTCCCACCATTTTCTTCTGCAGAACTTCACAAAGTGTCATGCTTTCTCTGTCATTACTGAACTCTACTATTTACTTCAGGCACTGCTCCAATCTGTCAAGATCATTCTCAATCCTAATTACATTTTCAAAAGCGCTTGATGACCATTCCACCTTCTGATTGTCTGAAAACATAAACCCCATATTATTCTTTCATCCAAATCATTAACAAAGACATTTACTAGTTCTGAAGGAGGACAGACCCCTCTACCTGATGCTTCATTTCATCCTGACAAAGAACTTGCGGAGCAGGAGTTTCTAACTAGCCCTGAGATAACAACAGTTTCAGCTAAAAGTTACTGCCCTGTACTGCTCATGGGAGTGTCACATGAAGGAGCTGAAATGAAAGGCTTCTGTTACTCATGACTTTCATATACACATGTTATATCAAATTTATTGCTGCTTCTGTATTCTGTCAGAGAGGGAAGATGACAAACCAAAACCACCTTCTTATTAAGATTAATTTGAAACACTTTTGCTTCACTGTGCTTTCAACCCCTGGGAAACAAAGAATCAATGAAGGGCATCAAAAATTGCAACAGTAGTTCAGTCAGTTAAATGCTGCACTGAGTTTCAAAGTGTGCATTAGCTATATGTATTTAGACTCGTTACTAAAAAAGGCATTAAGTAAATACATTTGAAAGTGTTTATGGACTTGAAGTAATTGAGCATTATATTCACATGTTCTAAATCCAACAAAGCCATGTATCAGGTATCTCCTACCAAGTCTGTTTAGGCAACTCCCTACTCCATGTCTTAAGCCATGTGAATCATTCCTCGAATCATTCAGAGGCACTCAGCTCTCATCATTGACTAGACACTTTGAAGTGGAATTCAGGCTGTATTCATCATCATGAAGACACCAAATGAATTCATACCAACTGAATGATGTGTGGGTTACTATATTAAAAGAGAAGAATTTACAAAAACCTAGATCTTATCCATCATCACTTGCATCCAACAGATTGGTTTCTTTTGCTTATAGTTCATGCCTTCACCCACATCTAAAATGACATCGTGGAGGTATCACCTGTGCTATAATTGACAGACATTACAGACATGCACTAATATAAACCAGGTCTTGGCAACCACAAGGCTTTTAAAGGAAGTGTAACATTAATGCCTGGTAATATCTTAGAACTCCACCCTTCCTCTTTCCTTTATTGTTCTCCCTCCCCCCCCACCCCCAATAAACACCGTATAAACACACAAGCAACACTACATAGATTCATACATTTCAAAGACACAGTATCTGCATTAATATCTGCATATGGGATGTGTGATGAACTGCAACAGAAGGGATGGGCATCTCCATCACAATACATTGTCTCTGCTGCATGAAGTTTGGCAAAAGCAACTTGGTTCATACTAAGTTTAGTGTGGACTGAGAATATCCCTGGAGTTGTAAAAAAATGTTTCACTGAAACCAATAGTGCTTAACATTCCTCTAAAATCACAGAATTTCTAAACCACCACAGCGATGGTGCAAAACAAAGATTCTGTTGGCACTCAGAAGAGATGTACAATCTATTCCCGGTCTTGATTCAAAACTTTCCCCACCCTTTCCTACACTATTTCTTCCCCACTCATCTGTCTTGTCATTATTTATGAAACTTTTGAATCTTTCCAAATTAAATATATTGCAACCTCCTTGGGACCCTCTACATGCTGCAACTAAAGGTACCTTTAGTCTACAGTACTTCTACCTTTCCCTTCTGACAAGCAACTGCAACAGCAACAGGGAGGGTAAGGTGAATCCCAGGCTGTCTTTCAAGTAGGTTGCTACTAGTTCTTACCAGTCTCCACATCTGAGGTCAGTTTGCAGTGCAGTACTGCATTTTACCATATTAATTTAGAAAGCAGAGCCAAGAACCCTGGACATCACTGTATCACCTGGATGGTCTGTAGGCATTTGATAATCAGCAGAGAAGCTCTACTGGATCTTAGGGAGGCAACTGAGGTCTGGGAATCACAATGTGTTTAGAAGTTCCTGTCCAAATCAACTCATGCTACTGTTTGAACGCAATTTGACTACAGTATCCTGTGTGACCACACCTAATCTGTGGCACTCGAAGGCAGAGAAACGGCCATAAGAGCTAAAAGCATGAATATTTTTATGTCCTTGTCTTGCTATTGATAACAACAACTGTTACTCAATTTTAAATGCCATAAATTCATTTTGGGACACTCCTTAAAAGTAACTCCTAGGAATTTAAGCTACCAATGTAGGTATTTATATGTATATTCATAAAATACAGGACCAATTCCTAAACTGTGACACAAGGCTATGGAACAGGTCATATAGTTTTAGGGACACTCACAAACTGAGCCTTAGACTCCTGCATTTGTTCTGCAGCGCACATTGGTATGGTGTTCTCTAGCAGAACATGGTGTCTCACATTATGGAGACATGGAACAAAATCAAGTTATCTGTGTGAGTGAACAGGTATTCTAACCACTGGATGGTTTGGCAGCTGTTGGAAGGCTGAAGAAGTTCAAAAGAAGGAAAATTAAGCTCCCAAACAACTCTCTCGCTTGTAGTAGAAATACTCACTGATGGGCTGTAATACAGTTCTAAAGTTCCTTCAGTGTAAAGGAGGCAAATATAACTCTCCTGAACATATGGCAGAAGTGCAAACTTCTGTGCAGCATGTCAGCAAACATCTGTATATTTATCAGCGCAAATTCCACCACCTTTATTCAGCTTTTGTTTAGTCCAGACTTAGAAAGCTGGTGCCTACATATTAACTCCAAAATTCACTCTGTCCATACACTAATTATAGTGCCTATTTTTTAGCCTCTCTGGCAGCAGTGATTAGCAACTATAATCAGTACTGACAAATAAACTGAAAGCCATTATACACTTTGTGACACTGCAAAGAAAGACATTCAGACTTCTCTAAGGAGATACCAATAGCACTTGAAATTACAACTGCGTTTAAAACACAAACAAGTAAGCAAGCAAAAACAGAGAGACCATCCACAATTTTGAGTTTTAAAATATTTGTAACGCTGCTAAATAATTTACAAAAATAAGGAAAGACTCCTATTCCTTGTGCCATATAGGCAAATTCTATTTAAACTGCTAGAAGGTTCTTTTCTATTAATTTTAATGTGTGAGTGTGTGAGAAAAGGAAGCCACAGCCTAGTGCCTATATCAACTTTAATAAATAATATATTTTGCCATATTCATCTTCTAAACTAAGTAAATGACAAAAGCAAGCGCTCAGAAGGACAGGATTTCCAACCCAGATTAATTCTCTTATTCTAAAGCCTTAACCCAAAGGATTTTTCTTCTCCAAGGTTACATTACTTGATTTAGCAATGGAGTACATTCTCAAAACAGCAGAAGACAGATGGAAAAATATATTGTGCTACAGTTGGAGCATACATCTAAACACACCTGCACATTGGATTGTGATTTCAATGCTTTTCCAACGGCTGCTTCTGCTTTGGCAGTCCAACTCACACAGCCTTGGAGTGCAG